TTAGCTTGTCAGAACTGAACAGCCCATATAGCTCATCCAAAGACCACAGAATTATAACCAGGCTCACGACAGCAGAAAATATCTCGGAGGCAAACTGACATTCATACTGTACATCATCTAGAAAACCCACTGAAGCTTTCCACCAGTGAAAAATTATGCTTTTTGTTTTCTTTTTTTGTATTTGTTTAAGAAACAGATGAGCTGGATTTGTTGCTAAACAGTTTGCATTGCAGATGTGCTTTTTCACTAGAACGGATTGAGTGTTTGTTCTTATTTTTTTCTGTGCGAGTTCAACATAATTGAACGTGAAAAACAGGAAAATAATTTATGAAGCAAGTATGAGACAGTTAACAGCTCACTGGAGGAAATGATTATCAGTGAATAGTGACTTAAGTTCCAGTCTGTTTCTCAAAGAATCATGAATCATATGTCTTCGGAAGACTCGGAATATAGCAGATAAATCATTTGGACTACTTTATGATACTTTTGTGGTGCTTTTGTGTCTTTTATGAAGATAGAAAGCCTCAGACCGTATTTCTCCAATTGTGTTCTACTAAAGAAATAAAGTTCGGAATGACATGAACATACAGTATGTAATGATAAAAGTCCTTTTTTTTTCCTTTTTTTTTAAGGGCTATTTATTTTCATATTATTTCTATTTATTTATAAATCCTCTACCAAAAGCAAGATTTAGTAGACAAGATACATCTCTCCATTGATGGCCGATTAATATCGCAAGCATGTTTCTTGAAAAAAAAAAAAAAAAATTGGCCAAATTAATGGAGATATTGGGTCTCATTCATGAAATACGAGCAGAACGAATTTTTGTGTAAATCGTGTGTAAAGTGGTTCTGGCGTAAATTTTCGGATTCATTAAAATGTTCGTATTTTCCAAATGTTAGTTGGTACGAAAGAAATCTACACCCGCTCCCAGCCACGCGTAAACAGTGAGTTTAACATCCGAACGTTTTGCTCATTAATAACTAAGGCTGCATTTATATCACCTTAATCGGGTACATATTTACACAGCATTTTGAAAAAATATTATATATAGTAATTACATACGGTTTTTCTTTTTACTTCTGGGACTGTTTGGTTAACAGATCAAACTCCATTAACTGCATCTGTAATATGCTGCCAAGCTTCCTTTGTTTTAGGACCTGATAGCCTACGCCACTATGTAGCTTAAGCTTGAAAATAAAATGTGGTGTTTTGAATGAACTTCTGATAATAAAACTTCGATTTCTGCACCTGAGAATTTTTTCTTTTTCATTCATTTTTGAGAAGACATGTTGAAATCCTTCGATTGGTGTCATAATATGATGCCCATATATAGTTGTCAGTCAGATTTAATGGGCGGGATTTATGGTAATTGAGAATGAGCGTGCACGCGCGTCCCATTTACGACTTATTGGAATTCATTAACACACACACACACACATTTCACTATCACATCTGACGTTTACGAAGTATTTGTGAATCAGGAGAGGAGTTTTCAGGAAGGTCTCTTTACGCGCAAATCTCTCTCATATTTACTCGTATATTTATGAATGTTTCATGAATGAGACCCATTGATTTAGAATTAGATTTTTTTTTCTATTTTCATTTTAGTGGAAGTACTTTTGTTGTGTTTTGTCATTTTTATTATAATACACAGTATATATTTTTTAAATATGCCTATATAGTTTTTTTGTTGTTGTTGTTGGTTTTTTTAGTAGTTAAACTTAACGAAATAGTGCCTTGGCAACCAGCTGAAATTAAGTTTAAGTTTTTTTAATAATGTTTTTATTTTATTTCGAGTAATGAAAGTGTTTTTTTTAATGGTTTTAGTTTTAGTTAACGATGATAACCCTGGTTTTAGCATCTACCGACAGTCAAACTTCAATGTTGCAAATTTGTTATTTCTCCAAACTCCAATTCCCACTTTTCATGATTCAATCAACATTAGATGGCTTAATGAAGTCCCGCGCTACACTTTCTTCTGATTTAATTTACTGTTTCCCTTAGACGTGTCAGTCTGTCTGTCTAATATCCATAAATCTGAGATATGACATCTGTTGAGACTTCAACATCCACCCATCACGCCTCTGTTTTCCACTCTCAACACATGCTGTTCTTGGAGGGAGAATGCAGTGAATTCCAAACACGAGGTCTCACGATGCGAAGCCGCTAAATATTAAATTCTGTAGATGTTCCTGTTGTGTTTAAAGGATCTCATCTGGCAGAACCACTTCAGAATCCAGACGCATATGTAAGGGAGCGCCATATCTCACAGAACATCGCCTTTTCAACACCTCACAGCTCCTTCTTTTGACTCGCCGATGTTTGTGAGGCGGCACACGTAGCAAAAGAAAGACGCTGAAAGCAAATTTTCCATTTTCCCCCCCTTTATTCCATCTTTGTGATTTCCATTCTCTTTCTCCAGCGACGGAGAATAGCGTTCGAGTGCAGGACAGTGGACTTGAATAGGCTGCCATTTCTCCACTGATGTTTATCGTGTCTTTCTCCTTCATGCTTTGAGCAGATAAAAAGGCTTATGTGGGTCATGTTGCATTAATCGAGCTCGCTGTCCTCTCAAATACTCTCTAAATTAAGCAACAAGCATAAAATATTCACATTTGCTCATGGTTCATCATTCAATGAAGAACAGCTCAAATGTATCACATCAACAGTGAACTAAAACTGCTCTCACAGAGACTATCTTTCTTTTGAAAAATGAGATGTTATTTTTATATTTATGGTTTTGAAGACTATTTAGGAGTTCTAGATGCATTCATTTCAGAGTTGGTATCTCAAATCTGCGCTTCCAAATCGCTTTTGATCCACGTGGCCAGGACCTCTAAATCTTTCAGCGCTGATCTTTTTCAGTCACTACCGCATGTTTCGGGCTCTGAGCTCAGAGACGGCAGACCCAGAACTGTTAAACGCATACAGAACTCTGTATTGATCCATTTTGTTAGAATTGTCAGGGCTTTGATGACGCTCTGGCTCTCAGCAAACTCTCTTTCACTCTGAATTTGATCTAGAAAAGAAAGAAAGAGTTGTAGTTTTGTAACATAACCCTGAACGTCAGCAGAAACCGTTTCTACTAGACAATCCCCTGTGAAGGATCCTCAGCAAAGACCACCAGACAAGTCCTGCGCACAGACCCTATGACCAGCTTCGGCTCCATACCGGCGTGATGAAACGGATCTTAATGCAAAAGGAACTGGATGAATATTTGAATGCTACCGATCCACAATCTGAATTCTGGCTCGTGAAGCTGCCTGAATCATAATCACACCGTGTTTGTTCGTTGGCCAGAGGAGAACTGGCCCCCGACTGGGTCTGGTTTCTCCAAAGATTTCGTTCTCCATTCATGTCACAAGATGGAGTTTGGGTTTCTTGCCACTGTCGCCTCTGGCTTGCTTAGTTAGGGACACTTAATATTCAGCAATATTATTGATCTGGCTATCACTGTACTGACGCCGTTGAATGAAAACCGAACTGGACAATTACATCATTTTTTGCAGGACTGCTTTATGAACTAATTTAATAATTGATTATATTTACAATGGAAATGAATCAACACTGAACTGACTTCTATTGAACAACAGCCACTTGTATCACTTTGAAACCATCTGTGTTGTATGAAGCGCTACAGAAATAAAGGGGACAAACACAAAAGCACAAAGGATGCTTTTGCTGGCAGGTACAGAGAGATTTAGTGTTTTTTTGTCAGGTTTTTTCTTGTTGTTCTATGAAAACACGTTTCACTGCGTCCTCATCAGGTGTCTCGAGTTTCCAGCAACAAGTAATTTAACTGTCAAATCAACCACAAAATCACAGTCAGTCAGAGCATATTTGATGTCATTCATTCATTCACTCGTTCATGTATATAAATTACAAAATAAATATGTATATATTTAATTGTTATTTCTACTTCAATTTATTTTTTATTTTCTATTCATCAAATAATCCTGAAAAAAATGTTTCCATCACGGTTTCCACAAAGTTATTTAGCTAAGAAGAATGTTTGTTGAGCAGCAAATCAGCATATTAAAATGATTTCTGAAGGGTCATGTGATACTGAAGACTGGAGTAATGATGCTGAAAATCCAGCTTTGAATCACAGAAATAAATTACATTTTAAAATAAATTTAAATAGAAAACTGTTATTCTAAATTGTAATAATATTTCACAATATTACTCTTTTTACCGTATTTCTGATCAAATAAAAGCACCCTTGGTGAACATAAAATGCTTTTTGAAAAAAAATCGTACTGACCCCAAATATTTGAACAATAGTGAAGAAGATATATTAAATATCCATGTTTTTATTTGTAATGCAATTTTATTACACTGTAAACCCAACGCTGGGTGTTATATAATCTCAGACTTATGAACAGTCATAATGTCCAGCCGTGAAGAAGATCGAGTAAGCTGTAAATCTGGGGCCGGGGGGCCGAAACGCACATGTCTTTGTTCATAACTCTTCTAATCCATGTCTTAATGAAAAGCTGGGGATTTCAGATGGATGAGGCGAGTGGAGCAGGCTGAGGGTTTGATCTGTCTCCTGGGAGAAGCGTGTAGTGTGCGCTGGGCAGTGTTTGGTGTTGTATTTCATATTCTCTCCAAACAGAAGCGAGATCCTGGAGGCAGAGCATGTGCACCTGAAGCCTCATGTTTAATTAACTACAGATTCCCCCTAAGAGACTGTTCTGTTGGGACCAGCAGGCAGGAGTGAGCGCTATCAGTCTTTCAGCTGGGGTTTTTTTTTCATCCTTATGTTGACTCTACACTTTCTTCTCTTTCTGCACTGCAGGATTCAATTTTCCGATCCACTTAGGCGGGATTCTGATGCGTTACGAATCCGATTAGTTCACACGTGCATGCACTCTTTAACAACAAACTGCGTTTTTTTGTCTCTCTCTCTCTCTCTCTCTCTCTCTTTTGGGCAATTATTCCGCTGGTTTAACTGAAATCCATCTCTCTCTTTCTTCTTTTCTCTTTTGCCCTAGTTCCGCCGCCTCTTTTCTATCATTCCGTCTCTTTCCTGTTTTTGCAGTTTTTTCTCTGAGATGAATCCTCCTCAGCTCTCTGTGGTGTTGGTGCTGATGTTGGCCCAGCTGTGCGCATCTTCTCTTGGTTGTCCTTCAGGGTGTCGCTGCTACAGTTTGACCGTGGAGTGTGGATCCACCGGACTCAAAGAGATCCCGCAAGGCATTACTCACGGGACACAGGTCAGTGATCACACCAAGCATGTGGATCTGTTGGTGGCGTCATATTTTGAGAGTGACTTGAAAAGCGATTTTAAACAGTCAAGAAACTCCAGATAAACTCTTAAAGGGATAGTTCACCCTAAAATGAAAATTAAGTCATTATTTACTCACCCTGGTGTTGTAATGCCATACGCCCTTCTTTCTCAGCCAGAAAAAGTTGTGAGAAATAAATAAACAAAAACACGACATGAAATACGACGGCTAGAAATCCCCCAAAAAGTAACTCTATTCACTGCCATTATGTGGACGAGTGCGAGCGGGCGGTCCATAAAAGAAAGAAGGGCATATTAGGCCATGAGACGGGACCCCAAATTTGGGCTACCGGTACCATTTTGAGGGATTAAATTTCTTTTTGATTTTCATGAAGGTACACATCTCTAGTGTTGGAAAATGTGTGATAGCATCCGATCCATGCTAGCTTTCAATTATAAATCAAGACTTATATCATCCTACCTCAAGGTAAGGAGTTCAGTGACTACAACAGAAAAAAAATGTATCCTTTTATAATTTTTAAAATGTATAAAAAATGTATATTATCCCTTTTCTTGACATATGTTTGAAAATCGTCCTCCGTAACCAAAAACTACCTTGAATCTAATGCTATCACACATTTTTCAAATACAGGTTCATATACCTACACAAAAATCACCATGCAGTTTAATCCCTCAAAATGGTACCAATCAACCCTCTGTCTCACAGCCTATATGGCATTAGAACAAAAACAAAAACGATAAGATACTGCCTTCTTTTGTACTTGTCTACACCTTGACCCACAATACAGCAAAGTTTAGATTGAATCCATAGTTTTTTTTTATAGACAACATTTTTAATAAATATATTCAAATCATAAGAATTTGTGTGTATGTTTGGTGTTATCAATGTTAAAAACAATATGGAGTAAATCTGGAAAAATACTTCCAACATCAAAGTTCAGTGTAACAAGAAGCTGCTCATGTGTGCTGAAAAGTTAATTTACACAGTTTGTACAATAATCATTTTTATTTTATAATAAAGTTTTCATTGAAAAAATGGTTTATTTTTAAATTAAAATAATTTAATGTTATAATTTTTGAGCAGTACACTGTAAAAAAAAGTTTGAAGTTTTAAATACAACAAAGACTGGAGTATGTTTTACAAGAAAAAAGTTTCACTCTCTCTACTTCAACATTTCATGTTTAATTCAGTGCGTTACTTGCCATTTCTTTGTAATTATTTGTGAAGTTTACTAGCAATTTCAGAGAGAAAATTGTTTCTGCACCAAATGTTTGCTCAGTGTATGATAATATTGTCAAGATGTTTATAAATCCTTTCCATTAGCTTTTACGGGAGAAAACTGAGCTGAATTACAAACAAGTGTTTTGAGAATGACCTGGGTAACGATTGATCAGACTTCATAAGATTAAAGTATACTGTAGTAAATGTTTTTGTTCTTACTGTGAATGGTTTTGCCATTGTTCTTTACAGACATTTGTGAATTAATGAAAACCAAAACATATACATTAATCACACCAGGATGCATTTGACCACAGGTCTACTCAGCATCCGGTCACAATTTTTTATTCTGGTCATCCTAAACGATAAGATACCGCCTTCTTCTGTGCGTGTCTACACCTTGACCCACAATACAGCAAAGTTGAGATTAAAACCATGGATCATAACTCCAGATAGTGCTGGGAATCATTCGTTACATCAGCGACTCCCATGGCCAACCTTATTTGCATATCTATGTGTCTGCTCCAGTCACATCACTAACATTACTGCAGCTCGTGAATATTCATGAGCCGGCTTGCATAAATTGCTTAATTGACCCGTGTAGCCTATGCTGCGCAAGAAATTTGCTTCAGCTCGGCCTGTGTTTGATTACAGACAATAGCTTGATAGAAATCAATTAGAAAATTAATTAGTGTAATATGTTGCATCATTAATAGAGTTATAGAAGTAAAGACAGGCCACTCAGCCCTACTCTTTGAAAGCCTATTAATGCCGTTCCTGACGCTGGTAATTGATTTGTTTGTGCGTTTCACTGATAGTCGACCCAGAACTGTGCAACACGCACAGAACTTTCTATTGATCCATTTTAAGTCAAAGGAAACCTTCTTCGACTCTGAATTCACCTGGAACAGAGCAAATATGAACAGCAAGAGAGAAATATTTATGCGCGAGTGTGTTTTGTCAGCAGTCTCTCGCTGCTCTCAGTGATTAGGACAGAAACTCAGGTCGACGTGGATGAGATGGATGAAGGCTAGCGTATAAAATCAATGAAGCTTATACTGCAAGCGAAACAGATTCTCATTAGAGTTTGATCAATATTGCCTTTTAATGACTGATACGATACAGACCATCTTTTATCTGAACACCGATATGCAGAGCCAATTCTAATCATTGTTGCAACAGTAAAACATGCATAATACTAATAATTCAATAATTAATATAGCCTAACTTATTATTAATATTGTTATTATTGATCACAACTATTTTAACAATAACAGTAATAATAATAATAATATGCAGGACCAATTTTAATTATTGTTTTATTTCTGTTTTCAACTAAATAATCATTAGACTATGACAATAAAACATAATAATAATAATTCTATTATTAATTTAATGTATTACTAATAATAAAATAATAATAACAAAAGTAATAACAGTTTTGATAATAACAATAATCTCATTATTAATATAATAATAATTATTCCATTATTGTAAACATTTCCATATTGTATTAATATTATTAATAATATTATTATATCCATTATTAATATAATATTGCTGTTGTTGTTATTATTATTAATATGATTATTAATAATGACAACAATAACACTTACACTAAATATATGCATAATAATAATAATCAAAATTGTATTGTTAATATAAGTTATTATTATTCCATTATTAATATAATAATATAATATTATTATAATTTCCATATTCAAATAATAGTATTAATATTATAATATCCATTAATATAATTATATTGTTGTCATTATTAATTACAACAATAATAATACTTACAATAATTATATTAATAATACCACTTTCATTATTACTATAATTTATGATTATTATTCCATTATATTAATATAACATTTTCCATATTCAGATTGTTTTATTTAGTGTCATGTCAGCATCCAAGGCTATTTTCATGGCAAAAATTCTATTACAAAAATACAAATATCATATAATTACAATAAAAACCAAACAAACAAAAACAGCAAGTCATATTATACAAGATTTTTTATATTAACATATGATAAAAAATCCAAAACCTTTTCAGGCATAATCGAACTAAATAAGTCCTTAAGTGAGGTAACTTCATAAAAAGTCCAGGACAATCTAATAAAATATGTTTAACAGAGAGGGGAATCTTACAAAACATGCATATAGTTGGGTCTTCACCTTTAACCAAAGAAGCATGGGTCAAACGTGTGTGACGGATACGACATCCGGTGAACACCACTTGTCTAGTTTTAAGAGTGATAAAAAGTCTTAATTTCCGGATGAGTTTCATATAGCTTATTATTCTTGCACATATTCCACTCTTCTTGCCACTTATTTAATATGTACCGATTAATAATCGGTCTAATATCTGAAGGAGGAATTTGACATTCATTAAGTTTCTGATTAGCAGCTGCATCAGCTCGCTCATTTCCTGAGAGTCCAACACGGCTGGAACCCAGCAGAAGATAATACTGGAGAACTGATTTACTAGATAATCCACTGTGGTTAAGATACACTCCACCAAAGGATGATCAATGAATCAAGTTTTCCATATTTAAATAGTATTAATATAATATTATAATATCCATTATTAATAGTAATTTTTAATAATGACAACGATAATACGTACAATAATTATATTAACAATAATCATCTCAATCATTTCATCATGAATACAATTTATTATTATTATGTTTTTCAGAGAACAGAATTGTGTTGAAAAAAAGCTGACAAGTGTGTATTGGTAAGAAATACTGGTCAAACTGATTATCTCTAGTTCTCACTGCTTCAGTTTTTATGGTGGTTTATAAAACAAAGCACATATCACTCACTCTCTCTTTTCTTTTAAAAGTGTGATATGTACTAATGATACTCCCATGGAATTTGTGTCCGCTTCAGACCATCTTTCTACAGGACAATGCCATTGGACAGATCCGTCAGCGGGATCTCTCTGACCTCGGCCAGCTGCACTACCTCTACCTGCAGAATAACAGCATCTCCACGCTCGAGCCCGGGGCCTTCAGGAGCCTGGGTCTGCTTCTGGAGCTCGCGCTCAATGGAAACCGCATCCACCTGATCACAGCGGACGTCTTCCGTGGCCTGGACCACCTGCGCATCCTCTACCTCGCAGGAAACCAGATCACCAGACTCGAGGACTACACTTTCCGCGGACTGCAGGTGAAACGACTGTCTGTGCCATCTGCAAATTTACATTTACAGGTTATGGGATTTGGGAACATTCATTTACAGTATAAATGTGACTAAAACATTCATTTAAAGATAAACGTTTAGCTAGGACTGTCATTTTTTGGCTTGTAAGCTCCAAAAAAACAAAAACAAAGAGAATGCAAGAGATCATGATTTGCTGACAACAATACTCAGAAACTGACTTTTTTTTTGCATTGGAAATATAATTGATTGAGTACAAGTATTCTTCTATACTATTGTGCCTATGAAAACAAGATGCTTTTTGGACTTTTTTGACAACGTTTTGGGGAAAACTGTTATTTTTTAGTATCATTGAGATTCTATTATAGTTATTAATATTTTGAATTAGATTTTCATGTTTATGTTTATTTTCCATTTTCATTTCAGTTAATATTGTGTGTTGGACACTTGTTTTTGTTTTGTTTTTAAATAGGTCTATAATTTTTATATAATTACATTTTATTAGTTTTCATTTTTGTTTTTGTAGTACATCAAGTTAAATTAAATGAAACACGGAAATTTTGCCTTGGCAACTAGCTGAAAAAGTTATATACCGGTATTATATTTTATTTTATTTCACTATAACACTGATTATAATAGTTATGAAATACTAATACCATCATGGCTGTTCAAATAACATTTTTAGAAAGCTCCACACATTTGCACAACCTTTAGAGTTTGCAAGTTTTGAAATGCTCATAAGAGTTTAGAAAGCAGAAATCACAGAAAAGCAGTACAAAACCTAAATTAATTCAGACTTTTTCAGCAGTATGGTATAAGACATTCACTGCAGTGCCATTTATGATTTTTAACAGGAATGAAAGTGAGGCTGTGAGGGATAGACATACGTAGGTACATCTCTTCAGGGGGTTGTACTGTTATTTACTGTGTTTTTGGATTGTTCTGCTGACAAAACACTGCAAGAATATCTTTCCGAGAAATTTCAGTAGACAAAAAACCTCAGACACCATGAGCTGTGGAAAACTAGAAGTGATCTAGGAGCTTTATACAGCAGGCCATTGAAAACACAGTAAGTCTATCCCTCGAAACCTCACTTTCATACCTGTCATGGCGCTGCTCTGAATAAGGTCTATTGGATGGAGGGACTGAACTGATATTAAATGACACTGCATCACTCTAGGTTGCTTTAAAAAGTGTGTTTTATAATCGTACCGATCATGCTCGTTGCAATAATCCTGATGATTGACTCATCAATGTTGATGAATGTATTCCAGCGGTTGCAGGAGCTGCATCTGCAGGAGAATGCGGTGGAGGTGCTGGGAGATCAAGCTCTGGTGGGTCTGTCCTCTCTGGCTCTTCTGGATCTGAGCAGGAACAACCTGAGGACCCTGAGTCCCGCGTCACTCAAACCCCTCGTCAGCCTGCAGGTGCTGAGAGTCACGGGTAAGAGCTTCTGCCACAATTTTAAGTCGTCTACTGTTTAGATTTTTTCTCCTTAGAAATGCAAATGTGAGATCACCTCATGAATATTGATTTAGTCATGTTTCCATTGGTAGCTCTTTTCATTTAAGTAAACTAATAAATATTCATGATCCAAGCGTTCACTCTGATCCAGTGCTGTGCTGTTGTACGAGTCGCACGACCTGCAAACGTACCACATTGACATGGCATTTAGATGTCAGCCAAGCTTTATGCTTGCTAAAGTATTTTTGCACAACATGTTGTTTGGATAAATATTTAATAATGCTGTATTCTGAGAGGCTTATATTGCGTTTGCTCTGACAGATAACCCGTGGCGCTGCGACTGCGCTCTGCACTGGCTGCGCGGCTGGATAAACGAAGAGGGTCAGAGGTTGTTGAGCTCAGCCGAGCGCCGGATGCTGTGTGCCGAACCTCCGCGGCTGTCCCACCTCAGTCTGGTGGAGGTTCCCCCTAACAGCCTTGTTTGCATCCCGCCTGTAGTGCAACTGGAGCCCAGCCACTTGACGGTGCGTTTGGGGGAGAGTCTACGCGTGTCCTGCCAGGCGTCCGGATACCCGCAGCCCCAAGTCACCTGGAGGAAAGCGTCTCACGGAAAAGCCCAGCTGTCTCCCAGAGGTCTGGTGCAGGAGGTCGGGATGGACGGAGACGCAAGGACCGGCGGGCGGTTGGTGACGGCCAGGCCTGGCGGAAAAGGAGGGCCGTCGAGTCGCGGGCCAGTCCGAGGAGGAGCCGAGGAGGGAGGCGACCGGGAAAACTTTGATCCCGATACGGGAAGCGGGATGTTGTTTCTCAGCAATGTCACGGTGGCGCACGCCGGACGCTACGAATGTGAGGCCTGGAATCCCGGCGGTGTGGCTCGTGTGACTTTTCACCTCTCTGTGAACATGTCTTCGTCCCGCTCGGAAATCTGGCCTCGGTTGCATTCCTCGTCGTACTATCATCCTTCCTCTGTGGACGTGAGCCAGGAGCCGCTGTATGAACTGGAAAGCATGGACTTCAACGCACTGGGAACCGCCACGCAGACGGCCATCGCGGTGGGAATCTCGCTGCTCGCCTTGACGGCGCTGTTGCTGCTCTGCATGATTTACAGTCGGCATCGCCAGCGGCAGAAAGAGGAAGGCGGGTACGGCGCCAGCAAAGAGGAAAGCATCCTTTACGTCAACGACTACTCCGACGGTCCCACCACGTTCGCTCAGCTCGAAGAGTACCGGGACGAACGCGGCCACGAGATGTACGTGTTAAACCGCGCCAAACCGGTGCTGCCCTCACCCCCGACATGCATCCAACAGGGGTCAGTGCTAAAGGCCAGTGAGTGTCTGACTCCAGGCCGGGCCACAGGGATCGGACCCCGCAGAGCTCCCGCAGAAGGAGGAGAAGGACCTCCGCTTGATCCCGAAGGGTTGTTCATGAACCAGAGCTTGCTGTTCGACACGCAGATCGCTTATGAGATCCACTGCTGAACTGTATCGCTGGAAAGACTTTGGGTTTTTGCCAGTGGATGTTATCCTGCTGAATTTCCTTTCGTTCTGAGAGCACAAATGTTTTTTTAAAGCATTAAGGGAATAACAGACTTTCAAGCTGCGTTGTGCAATTTCAGTGCATCAAATGTATTTGCTAAATTATTGTCTGACTGACTTCCCGTGTTAGCAGGTTGTAGCGGTTCTAAACTCACACCATTGAGTCAGTGTTGCTACACTCTTAAAAAATAAAGGTTCTTTATTGGCATCTATTGGCGCTTTTCCACTACACAGTACCAGCTCGACTCGACTCGGCTCGCCTTTGTTTGGTTTTCCACTGTGTAAAAGTTGTACCTGTACCTGCTTTCGGGTACTTTTTTTGTATCACCTCCGGCGAGGTTCTGAGCGAGCTGAGGCGATCCTAAAATGTGACGTGAAAACAATGCCGACTGCTGATTGGTCAGAGAGAATCGTCACTATTCACTGCGTCATCATTGCACGCGCCAGATGGAGTATCCAGAATAACCCCGGCATTTTTAAATAGTTTGGCCAGAGATAGTTACTAAACTTACTACTATTATTATGGCAACTCGGAAGAATACGCCGTGGTCAAACGAGGAGGTGCAGACTTTCCTTTGTATAAGATTCGTATACTCGCGTATAAGATTACGTCACGGCAGTTTCCTGCGGCGTCGATATGACGACCGGGTACTATTTGTGGCGGTACTGTCTGCACTCTGCAATGGAAAACGGAGCGAAAAGCGAGCCGAGTCGAGGCGAGTCGAGCTGGTACTGGAAAAGCGCCATATGGTTCCCAAGAAGAATCTTTAACATCCATTCCACAAAAGGTTCATTATAGTGTAAAAAGTTCTTTAGATTTTTTAAATGTTCTTAACACTAAGGAAAAAAAGGTTATTTTAAGAACTGTTGTTCACTGAAAGTTTCTTTGGGGACTAAAAATGGTTCTTCTATTGCACTGCTATGAAAACCCCCTTTGAGAACCTTTATTTTTAAGACTGTATGTTGAGCTGCTCAAACAAGCAGAGAAATGTTAAAAACATTAAAAACGTTTACTCTCATTGGGGAAATCAACCCCCAAAGGGCAACTTAAAGAAATAGTTCACCCAAAAATGAACATTTATCCCATAATTTACTCACCCTCAAGCCATCCTAAGTGTATTACTTTCTTCTTTCAGCCGAACACAATCTGAGTTATATTAAATAATATCCTGGCTCTTCCCAGCTTTGTAATGGCTTTGAATAGTGTCCAAGTTTTTGAAGCTCCAAAAAGCTCATCCATCCTTCGTACAAGTAATCCATATGACTCCAGGGGGTTAGTAAATGCCTTTTGAAGCGAAGCCATGGGTTTTTGTAAGAGAAATATCCATATTCTCTTTCCAAAACTTCTCGTTTTAGACTTCTCAATTTGTGTGGGGCGTTTTGTTTTGCTCTATCTTCTGCACTTCTATGTTCATCAATTCTCACCTAAGCTTACGCTACGCCTACATCCTACATCAGGTCAGAGGTCACTCTTCCGCCAGAACTCGACTCTCTCATGAACGCGATACGACCATAGCCGGAAGCCAGTGATTTTAGGTTATAAAGTTTTACATATGTATATTTTTCTTATAAAAACCAATCACTTTGCTTCAGAAGGCCTTTATTAACCCCCTGGAGCCGTATGGATTACTTTTATGATGGATGGATGGATGCACTTTTTGGAGCTTCAAAAACTCGGGCAATTCAATGCCCTTACAAAGCTGGGAAGAGCCAGGATATTTTTTAATATAACTCAGATTGTGTTCGGCTGAAAGAAGACAGTCATATACACCTAGGATGGCTTGAGGGCGAGTTAATTTCATTTTCGGGTGAACTATTCATTTAATTGAACGGCTACATAATCACCTCTGCACATTGAACTGGGATTGCACACAGCAGCTTTTAAGGAATAATTCATCCAAAAATGAAATCGGTTATCATTTGCATTGTTTATGCTGGGTTGATTTTTGGTAGAATCACAAATGGAAACTTACTCTGAATTGTGCATATTAAACAAGTTCCTGTTTGTGTTTCACAGATAAAAAATAACAGCATTTTGGTTTGTAAAGTGATATACATTTTTGTCTTGTGAAAATTTTTGGATAAAAAGTTTAGACCGATACACAAAAAATTAGCATTTCTCTAGGTTAGAAACTTTCCTACAGTTGCTAAATACAGTATGTATTAGAAGTGAATAAAGGGGGAGGCTACAAAAAAAAACAGGCTACACATTTAATGAAAAATAGATGAAAAAAGAAAATGCAGGTGAATATTTGGGGAGAGAAAAGAGTTTACAAGTGTAGTCCATTTGGTATAATTCATTTTTAAAGAAATTCATACTTTTATTCAGCAAGGATGCATTAAATTGATGAAAATTGACGATAAAGACATTTATAATGTTACAAAAGATTTCTATTTCAAATAAATGCGGCTATTTTGACCTTTATATTCATGAAAGAATCCTGAAAAACTTTTTTTTTAAACAAAATATTAAGCAGCATAACTGATTTCAACACTGATGATAATAATCAGAAATGTTTCTTGAGCATCAAATCATCATATTATAATGATTTCTGAAGAATCATGTGACACTGAAGACTGGAGTAATGATGCTGAAAATTCAGCTTTGATCACAGGGATAAATTACATTTTAAAATACATTCATATAGAAAACAGTTATTTTAAAATGTAATAATATTTCAAATATTACTGTTTTTTCTGTTATGATCATAAAATAAATGCAGCCTTAGTGAGCATAACATTAAAAATCATCGCTCAAACTTTTTAACGGTAGTGTAGTTAATCAAATCTGGCGTGTTTTTCACTTGGCGAGGACAAAAAAAAAAAAAAAAGGCCAAACTGCGACAGCACCTGATAAAACTAAAAGTGCTCTTATTATCACAGATGTTTCTGTCATTTTAATGTCATTTAAAAAAAACTGTTAAAAATGTTTTAGCAACGCAGTATCCCAACTCACTATGACAGATAATGATCATTTATATCGCAGCATCTTCAAAATGACATGAAGGTGAATAAATGAATACATTTTCACTTTTGGATGAACTATTCCTTCAAGAGGACAGTGCTGGTTTTGTTAAAAGCAAGTTCTTGTAGAATGAGAGCCGCTACCAACCTTTAAAATAAGAGGTTACATAAAATTACCAAAAAACTGGATATTTTTTGTCGTGTTACTGTGAAATGAAGTGATCCAGGCTGAGGTCAGTCACAGGGTCTTGGACAGGGACTGTGAGGACAACAGCAGAGGACATCTGTGCCGTGACGTCCCTGTGCCAGGCAGTGTGAAAAGCTTAATGTCCTTCTTCTTGCAAACGCTGTCTACTAATTTCAAGTATTCTTTCTTTTCACATGCATTCCTGTGTGTATTTATTTGTGAACGGCAGACAGCAGAAGAGAAAGAAACCAAGACTCAAATGCGGGTGGTGTGTTAGTGTTTACTACAGGCGGGACACAAAGGAAGTAGTCGCATCTATTTTCTGTCTGAGGCTCGTTTGCTCTCATACTCTTGACCTCTGTTGGAATAACACTGTGAATTAACAAACAGGACTCTACATTCACAGCTAGCTTTTGTAAGTTATTAGATATGCCAGTTTCTTTCATATATAACAGTATTGTTTTTGAGAGTGTGGGTATTTTTTCCTCTTTGCCATTTTCTTCTCCAGCATTATATGGACAATTTAGTGATGATCACATCAGGGTAAACTGTATAAAAGCATTCATTACAGCTTGTGGGAACATCTCAAGGTGTTAAGCTTCTGCTCAACAATACGATAGTTTGTGTATTTCTGTCAAATGTCTAACAAATATCAACCTATTTTATCCTAATAAATTATGCATTTATTTGAGATTTGCTACTGTGTGTCAAAGGCAAATATTGAAAGTTTGACAGTCATCGGGACTCAAAGGTAAGCTGCTTTACATTCACTATGAACTTGTTGGAAGCAGTTTGATTTAAAAATAAAAATTAATACAAATAGCGGAACCTGATGACATTCTGAATCAGAAACATTACATTCTTTATGGTTCTCAAACTTTAGTACGGTTAATTAAGTAAACAAATTCTTAACATTAAATTATACTTCATTACACAACTCATTATGCAGATTTGTACTACGGCTGTACAACTAATTTTGTAAATGATTATTATTTTTTCCTATGGGACTACAGCCTATATTAAAATCAGATATGATATGATATATCTATATTTTACATATTTTAAATGTAGACTGTAACTTTTGGCCTTCTATCGGTTAAAAACGGTATGCATTTAGCGGAAGAACATTGTTTTGGTTGTGCTTCGGCTCTGACACTGCGTATGAATATGATACTAAATACCATCACAGCACTACAACAACTCATGATGAAACGAAACGACCCTTCACTTCACAATAATGCATTACAATAAAATAGAGAGCTACATATGGCAATTTATCTGTTCAATAAACACATTACTCACCTCCTGTTAATAAACACGGCATCTCCGCGTCGCTTTTACAACAACATTTCAAACTCCTCAGTTCTCACCATCTCCAAAAAGCCAAGCCAATGCTGATTCTTGTTTTATTTTGAGCTCTATGGCGTTCTCTTTTTGTCAGCAGACTCTCCATTGTTTGTTTAAAACAGGTAATTTTGCCCTGAGATCGGATGTTTAGATGCTCCATGTCAAACTTTGTCGCTATTTGTGACAACTTACTAAGCTATGTTAGCCTGGTAATACCAGACTCTGCTACTTCACTTTGCTTCGTACACAGAGTCTGGGATAGCATAATAGAGAAGTGTTTTCTCTCTCGCTAGGGGGCGCGTACTGAAGTTTAAAATCATTGGTTACCCGTAAGCCAATCAGATAAGTTTGTTTATGACGTATGTTATGCGCCGACACAGCCATCGAACCACAGACATCATGCATCGAACTCAAATCAAGGGGGTAATCCATCGACCGGAAGTTGAAGCCGGCCGGGTGCCGCCATGTTGGAGCAGAACTTCACTTGCGTTAGCATTTCCATTGACTCCCATTCATTTTTGCGTCACTTTGACAGCGAATAACTTTACATCTGAGGCGTTTAAAGACTCAATTTGTCCATTATTTATTTCTAAAGAAACACGACAATGTATAAAGGGCTCCATTACCTTCTATGTTACACTATGGCCCCGTAGAAACAGATTTAGTAAAAATAGGCTAACGATTGCGTCATAACCACTCGACTCTCTGTCGCGCTGTACAGAAGTTGACTTTTTGTATCAACTGTATATAGATATGTGTATTCTAATTTGTGTGTGTGTGTGTGTGTGCGAAAAATCCAATAGCATTACATTGAATGAGAGCCATAACAGCATATTTATTTTTTATGTATTAACATTTATGATAGGCCTACATACATGATTTCGTAATCAAAATATTTGTTGATGTACAGATTGAAAAACTCCCCATGCATTTCACATAAAGTTTTGAGGAAATCAAACTACAAATGGTTTACAGCAAATATTAATCTGGAATAGGAGAAAATGTTTTAACATGTCTTTACACCATTAACAATAATAATGCTAAAATATATAGCAGCACAAAAATTAATTGCAAAGCTAAATATTGAAATTAGATTTCAAATGGGTGTATTTTCAGGTTTTTCTGAAGTGGTGTAACAAATGTTAAGTTGACCCGAAACTGATTGTGTTGCTCTCTGATGTGGTCATGAAGTGTTTAAGTTTTACTTCTCACATTGATTAAGAATAAAAGTAGAAAAGCAGAAGAAACCTACATGCTAATAAACAGGTAACACTTTCACACTTGCATTTTGCAGTTGTGGCAAAACTCTTTAATAGTAAAATGATAATCTGACACAACCATGACCTCTCAATCTGCCAACAACACATTAAAACCTGTGCTGGAAATTCCTCTTTTTCTTTCTCACCTCCTTTGTGGCTTTAAAGGAAACTTTACATGACGTAAAACAGACGAATATGCCATTACTTCAGATTGTAATATGATTAATATGAATTGCCAGTGTGTCAGAGATCATCTGTTATTAGTGAAGTTTCACAGCGCTGTAAATCACTTCTTCTTGGTCAGGAGGACGGCTCTGAGAATCATTTAATAAAACACAAGACAGAGTGAGATGAATTTCAATGAGCCAGTGATTAAAAGCATTTAGATCATGGTACATTATGCATTTCCACAAAAAAATAAAAATAAATGAATGAGATCACCTATTTCATAAATAAATAGATTATATTATCGCATTGCATACAGTAGCCTATATTACAGTATATGCATTAATGGTACCAGCAATGTACTAATGCTTACAATTGAGACCTGGTTTTGTTCATTGTTCTTTCCTTTCTTGAAGACCACTGTGTCATACATCACAAGACCTTCTGTCTGTATAAGAAGAGAGCAAACAAAACGTTTTTCAAAAGATTATTCAGATCTAAAGTCATGCTGTATGTCTGATGTGTAGATATTTCAAGGCCTAAACACATACCTCAGAACAGATGTCTCGTCCTTGTGTGGGCAAATCTTTAAACAGGAAGAATCACATCATAAAACCATATGCAAATTTAAAAAAAAAACGTGTGGGCAAAATACTATACAAATGAAAAAAGAAACGTGTTATTCAAGGAGACTAAAATGTGAGTTTTCACCAAGGTAATGTGGCAGTGCAATAAATCCTGTGAAATTGGATTTGAGGCATTAGCAGTGCAATATTGCTTTGAGTTAAATATATAAAGCTGTGTTTGAACTGACTGTATTTTTGTATAATCCTCCAGATCACCAAAACCAGCGTCAGAAGCGGCAAAGCTGCCGAGAGCAGCAGAAAAATCCTGTTCCTGTGGTCAGACCAGGCGTCCGCTGTGTCGTTTCTTGCTATTTTGCTGTTACTACAAATAGAATCATTTTATGGGTCTAAAATGTCAATGACATTAAATAAGAGAATTCAATTTTAAATCAGTAGGCAGGAAAATCTTCCTCTACAGTGAGATCATTTTCCGATATTCGTGACTTGAGTCAAGTTTCAGGGATTTACTTACGAAGACGGACCATCTTCATCACTTTCAGCTGATTTTGGAGGACAAAAAGCATAGGATTACATGGAATACTGTAAAAACTAATGCTAAAAATGTAATGTTTGATTCTAGTTTATTGCAATTATGTTTTGTTATATCAACATAAAATAATATTTATAAATATGAATTTGCATTCTATAATTAGAGAATTATGTAAGGAATAATTGCAGACATGCCATAATTATTCTGGATTCAATTATTCGGCTTATACACCTCAAAACATTGTTCAGATGTTGTAATTCAAGACGTTTGTCAGGTTTTTGTCCTTAAAACGCTCTTGTAGGACTGATTTCTTACACATTTAATTCCAAGCCTCATTTGCTATAATTCCAAAACGTCATTTTAGAGCTAGTAACGGAGGCTTGAGCCATTGATAGCAGACAAATACAGTTATAATGCAGTTACAGAGAGAGCGTATACCTGAGAATTAGCCTACCTGAGTCTGTGTGAAACTGTAAGTGTATCTGCTTCAAGAACAGCGGGGTTATTACCTCACTAGTGAGTAATGTCATGTAGCTTTTAAGTTGTTAAACTATTTAACTGTCTGTTTCCACAAGATAACTGAAATAAATTGACTTACATGTATTTTTATATTTTTCATTGTCCCTCTGAACCAAGAGTTGAACAGGAGCCTGCAGATCTCCAGCAGAGCAGAAGTACCATCCAGAATCACTGAGTCTCAGTCCAGTCATCAACACAGTGAAGGAGCTTCTCCCGTCATCACTGATCTGGACTGATGCATTCTGGGATGTGTCATTCCTCCCCACTGTGTAACAGCTCTGATCTTTAATTCTGCACCACTGTTTGTGTTTATTCTGATATCCAGAAGTGTAGAAACACTGGACACTGACATTATCACCTTCATGTCCAGATACACTGCTGTTCATCACAGACACATCAGGAGCTGAACACACAGACACAAGTCATTAAGATTAATTAGGAATAGGATCAGAATTATTCATCTGAATGTGAAACTCATCTCAAACCTGATTGAACTGTGAGATGAAGCTGCTCTGTTTCATCTTTTTGAAATATTCCTCCAATCTCCTCAACACACCAGTAAGATCCAGTGTCTTCACGCTGCAGGTTTCTCATAGTCACAGTAAAGAAACTCTGATCTGGATGATCCATTACTGACACTTTTCCTTTGGTTTCATTAGCATATGCCAGAATAGAGCAGTAATTATATGCCGGTTTTGCATGAAAGCACCAGTATTTCTTGTGCTCTGTGTATTTCCTGTCATAATAACATGGAATAACGACAGATCCTCCAGTCTGAACCGTTAACTCTCTGCTTGCTGATCCTGTTGTGCATTCAGGACCTGAACGAAGGAAAGATCAACTTTAGTTGGACTTCGATGTATCAGTAAATGTATAAAAGAATTAGCAAAATGCATGTCATACAGCAAGATATGTAAACTCGTGTAAAATTAATTGTAAGCAAACAGAGAACACTTGCCTGTTATGAGCCAAAGGGAAAATACAATGAACTTCTTCAAACTGACTGTCGGTCTGTCGAAAAGTTGCAATGTTTCTTCTTTCTCTATCTTCATCATTTCCATGCAAGTTTAGATTTTTAGGTTAATACTATAGACACAGCTTCTCACTCAAGGAGACGAGCATAAAGTCTAAAGTCATCATAGATTTCTACAGTCTTTCTCACTTCCTGCATTCGTTCTTTCTTGTTGCTTGTCAAAAAGCCTCCCTGTGAATGTTGCATCGGAAGTTACAAATGTGTCACCTGGTGAAATGAGAAGTATTAATGTGCAATACAGTGAATGTCAAAGCTGTTCCGCTCCTGTATTCACATGCTTCCTTCTCTAGTTCTCATTTTGCAATTATAGGTACAGTATGTCACCTCAGAAACGGGTTGTTTTTGGTCTGTTTTGTGGTTGGGTCAACACATTTAAGCAAAGAAATATATGACCAAGAAAAACATATCTACAGAATTAAATATGACTTGAAAACAAGATGTGAAAGTATAGAAATGGAGCACTTTTCTGTATAGAAGTCAATAGAGAAAAAGCTTCTATTGTTTTTTGTATGCTGATCAAATGCAAGACGTAACAGCCTCAGATATGGTAAAAGGAGAAACAAGGGTATTCTCAGTGCTTCTGTTATTGTAAACATTCACACATATTTCACACATCGTCTGCAGTGTTAGTTGAGAATAACTGAGTGGGAACACATCCAACAAGGCTTGCATAGGCAGATGACATGATATGTGGCATACAAATATTCAGTATTAGCTGAGGAAATTGGGCACTTCATTTTTTTGGGTGAATATGTTTGACTTAAGGTTATTTTTAAGTATGTTCAAAACAATTCACATTTGGAAGATTTATGCATTTAAAAGTTATAGTTTCTCTCTACAACCAACAATTCTAATGACATCATTCTGCACTTCAGCTTCTCCTCAGATTGTCTGTCCAATCAAATGCTGATTTTTAACATTATTCTCTCAACAGACATTTACATCGATAGTCTGGCGTTATAATTGATCTGCTTTTGGTGTACTGTGGACTGGGTAAAACTGTTTTTAATGGCAGGCTAGCAGTTACCGTTGACTCGCGCTAGCCTAGCACCGGCGAACTATGCAACTGGAACGACTGGATGACATTTTTTGAAAACTGTCTCCACTGATAAATAACACTAAGGCTAACTTGGAAATGAGGCCCGATGCCCAAAATTCTGAACCACCCCTTTAACATGATGACATATGCAAATACTGTCACTGGCTAAAATTACATTACTGCATGCGGTCAGTACTATATCATATTTATAAAAAAAATGGCTAAATGGAAAACATTTATTTTTATTTTATAGTCGTATTTGGTATGTTCCTCATTTATAGTTTGCTTTTGATAAAAGAAAAAAAATACATTTGGAGAAAAATAGTGAATAAAAATACATTGCAGACAGGCATTTAGCAAATGTAGACGTCTAATACATTCAAGAAAATTCACAGTTCTAATGAGAAGACGAGCACTGGACTGCTGCAGATTAGTGGGGAAATATATTTATTTACCATCGAATGCTTGGAAAGAAAATGTATTTATAGGAACATTTCAGCAGGTTCAAGATAATTCATGTTAACGCATGCGCTGAATGCTGTTACCGGAAACTTCTGAGTTCTAATAATAAGTAAAGTAGTTGTCAAAGTCTTCTGATCTCTGCTCGAAAATTCTAATACATTCACAGATCTTTAATCTGATCTGAATGTGTAAAGCAAAAGCAGTTTTCTTTCAGCTCAATGTGGAGAAAACTCTAGTTTTGTGACAGACAGAAACGCCATCTGAAAAGATAAAGGACAATAGCACACTATCAAGAGATAGCTGAATATGTTTCTCTGTCACATTAACTTGGACACATTTAAGCCCTCACTTTACAGAAAATATTTTTATTCACAAATATTTTTTCAGAAGGAAGACTGGAAATTGATTATGTAAAGTTATAGACATGTGAAGTATAGATATTGCAAAAGAATAAGCCACAATAATGAGAATTTGTTTCTTACTTGTCCTTCTCAGTGCCGGTGTCTGTGGTCAAAACAAAAGTTTTTTTTTCTCTAACAGCAAAAACTTTATTGTAATAATTATGGATTGAGTTTTAACTTTTCAGTTTTTAAATACAGTATGAAATAGGTTTTACCTGGTTCTGCCTCGGTTACAGTGAGTTGAACAGGATTCAGTGCCTCTCCAGCAGAGCAGAAGTACCATCCAGAATCACTGAGTCTCAGTCCAGTCATCAACACAGTGAAGCTTCTCCCATCATCACTGATCTGGACTGATGAATTCTGGGATGTGTCATTCCTCCCCACTGTGTAACAGCTCTGATCTTTATATCTGCACCACTGTTTGAGTTTATTCTGATATCCAGAAGTGTAGAAACACTGGACACTGACATTATCACCTTCATGTCCAGATACACTGCTGTTCATCACAGACACATCAGGAGCTGAACACAGCAGGGGAAAAAAATGTTAAATATAAATAGGTATCTACTGAAGCATAAAACCCCATATCACACAGAAGAAAAGTAAAAAATAAAATAAAAAGCACTACTAAAACAGTCTTTACCTGGTTGAACAGTTAAATACAAATGTTTTCTGTCATCTGGTTTTGCATGGATCTTCACCGCACACCAGTAATTCCCAGAGTCTGAAGATGTTGCATAGTCGAGTTTCACAGTAAAAATATTGTGGGCTGGATAATCAGTTATTGTCCATTTCCCTGTATCATTTGCACGGGCTGAGATTTGGCAAGAAAACCAATAAAACCCTCTACACCAGAGTTTTGAGTTTAGTTTATACTGATTGTCATACAGACACGGGATTGTAACAGTTCCTCCTTCTCTCACAGTTACACGATCTAGTGTATTCATGCTCAAAGTTTCTGTAGAAAACAAACACACACAAACACTTAGCTTTAATGATAATACTGGTACGAAATTAGCTAAAACAATTTTCTAATTAAATAAAAAATATTTGCATCAAATAATTATTTTAGATTAATTTGTTGTGTTCAGTGGTTTTTATTTGGTTTGACCTCCTGCCTCCATACTTATGAATGTGTTTGATGTTGTTGAATTTACAGCAGGTGAAATATGGAAAGGGGGACTTATAATATAATATAACAATATAAAAGTGTTAGGTCATGGTTCGAGGAAGGTGATTTTATAAATAGTGGGATATAGACATCAAATTAATTCGTACACTTGTGTGTGTTAAGAACATTCTAGTGATAATCTTATTCATTTTCTCATTTATTTTAATGCTGTCATTTTCAAAAAAATCCAAATCTCAACAATCAGTGTTGCAACCTTGTGGTTATGTGGTTTGATTATGCAATGTTCAAGTCTTACACAGCTGGAGACACATAGCATATTAAATATACACACTTATATTCAAATATACATGCAGTACTATTTGCTCACCCTGCAGTCTTTAAGAAGTGAAATCAATCAGAGTATACAAATAAACAACAGAAGAAAAGGGTAGGTGCATAAAGCATGTTTTGAGGGTAGAATGTAATTTCTATCTTACCTGCAGTGCAAAGTAAAACACCAAGGAGAATCGGAGGAAGAGCCATGTGACCGTCAGGATGAGTAAAAGCAAGACAGAACCTGAAATGAAAATCTGACTTCCTGTCTCTGATAATGAGCCGTTCCTGTTTCTGTACTCATCGATGTAATGAAAACTGAAGTCAGCAGAGACATCATCAATCCTACACACACACACACACACACACACACACTGCTATAGGAGAGGTTTGACACAGAGTATTTTAAACATGCACTTGAAAAGGTTTGGATCAAAGCAAAGAGCTGAAGTAGCCTTATAGTTCTACACCGAAAGAATATGCACAAATATAATGTCCAAAACACTGCAGCTGAAGGCCTTATACTATATCATATTGTGGATGGTGTGCTTCATGCATCATATGAACCAGACAGAAGAACAGAACATACACAAGCATCTTATTTCATCCTCCAAACTAAAATTACAATTCCATTCGTGTTTGGGTAACAAGCCCAACTAAACAACACTGACACACATTCAGACAAGAGTCAGGCATGTAATGTAAAAAGCAGACTTTGTTTATTTTCATACATTGTCAATTTCAGGGTGTTGCGAACTGCTCCGAGACTGGTGAAGAGCCAAATGCAGCTTTATTGAGACAATCCAGAATCATAATCCATACAGGCAAAAGGTCAAACACACGGGCAAAGAATCCAAATGAGCAACCGGGCAAAAAACAAACAAACACAGGAAACCAGGATAATGCTCAGAACTAGCTACAGTGCAACAACATACAATACTTCACAAAGTATGAGTGAATACACAGGGTTTAAATAGACTAAAGTAAACAACATAATAACACAAGTGGACGTAATCAGAACACGATATCCAGGCAATGGAAATGTAGTTCATATAGAAAGCAGAATGATGGAGTGCCCTCTGGTGGCGATCACGGGCACACCAACTGGTGGTGGTGACACAGGGAAAGTTATCACGTGTTAAAATAATGTCAAATAAATTATATCAAATAAATAAAAAAAATTATAACATTGGCTGGCCAAAATAATTACATTTTTGTTACGTTCTTTGACGTTTCACCATTTAAATTTTGCTTTGAAATGGCAAAATTTCAAAGCAAAATTTGCTTTGAAAAAAAGCAAATAAAGTTACTTAAAACCATAAAAACATGTCCAAAGTTCAAATCCAAAATAATTCAACAAGCAAAATAAATAATGACAAATGCAAATAAGACTCATTTGTATAACCGACTATAAACGGTCCATAAGAGACTGATCAAACACGGTTTATTTAACTAGTCAGGTTCATGGGCAAGCATTTGTTAGTGCATTAAACAGATTCTTAACGGGTACAACCTTTTTATGTTGAAAGACAAACTGAAATTTTGTTTCCAGACTTAAAAAGATTCAAAAGACAAGTAACTCTAAATAGCCCGCCATCACTGACTATATAACGCCCCAAATAAACTAAATAAAGCCCAAAAGAGCAAAGGGAAGCATTTTTATCGTTGTGTTTCCATCATCCCACTCTTTCAATAAAACACAGTCATTCCTTCATCAGCCACACAAAGCACAAGTTGACTAAACACAGCAAATATCTTCTCCTCCAGGAACGCCACAATCTGAGTGTTTTTAAGACGTCATTAACCTGAAACTCCAGCCTCCACTGATCATCTCAACACACATCATTACACATTACAGGACTGTAGATCCCAAACAAACCAGAGGAGGGAGACAGAGACTCTACAGACTACATTTTGCACATATAGAATACAGGACAGTAGAACAAAACACTCAAATAATGCCTGAATTAAACCCATTAAAAATTATCATTAAACTGCTAAACTATGCTGGTCTTTACCAATTTAAATACCTCATATGATAGACATAAGACTGAACAGATTAGACCATTTAATGTATATATAATTGCAGAAAATTACAGAGAACCGGCGCTGCATGGTATTTATAGCATCTAAAGGCAGATATTAAAGGGTTAGTTCTGAGGTTATTCTAAGAGCTTTCTGTCCCTCCATTGACAGCCAACGCAACTTCCACTTTCAATAAAATTGAGGTTAAACCACTGGAGTCACATGGATTACTTTAATGATGTCTTTACTACCTTTCTGAACCTTGAAAGGGGTAGTTGCGTTGGCAGTCAATGGAGGGACAGAAAGCTCTCAGATTTCCTCAAAAAGAGCTTCATTTGTGTTCGAAGATGAACGAAAGTCTAACGGGTTTGGAACACATGATGAGGGTGAGAAATTAATGACAGAATTTTCATTTTTAGGTGAACTATAAAGTCCCTTTAAAAATTTCAGGAAGTTTCACAAAACGTAAAAAACGTAAACATCACTGATGTTAAAAAGTTACATTGAGAACATCGCACATGATATGATTGTTGAACAGGCCAAGGCATAACACATGATACATTACTTGGTTTAAAAAAGCTTGTATAGCCTACAATGTGTAGTCATAAAAAAATAAGCCTATAATATGAACGCAACTGCGAAATTTCATGGTAAGCTTTTTCTTTTTAACAGGCTCAGGAAAGAAAATGCCATTAACGTGAAACGTTGCGCGTCGCGTTCATATAGGCTCTGTAGGCTATAGTTTTCCTCCCATAGAGCCTATTATTACGAAAAAGCATAACGTCAATGCAGTAAGACGGCGATATTAAAACTCAGTAGCGGATACACCTTATTGAACATGCAATGCGCTATTGCACGTGAAGCATTTTATAATGGTGTTCTATGGGTGTTGTTCATAATCGGATTGCCTCTATAAAGTATGCTTTATTAATAAGGTAGGCCTATATTGTGTACTAAATTTGGCGCTTCAATATCACTCACATTAAAGGGACTATAAGTAACTTTTTAGGTAATTTATAATCTAAAATCAATATTTTTATTCATAAATATGTCCTCAATGGTGTACAAATACCTCTGCCAATTATCTGATTTATCCTCGTAAACGAAGAATTTATTATATTTATATACATGGGACGGGTAAGTCCACGGAGGCTTCCATGTAGTTCCACCATCTTGAAAAACTATAATAGCAGAGAGGGACAAAAATTACGCCAACCCGTTTCCACAACGTGTTTTCGTTCCTAGCCAGCGTCACAACTGAAAGCAGCAGAAACGGAGGAGCAGAGCAGTGAGAGGCGCTTGTCACTGCCCCGGCAAGTTTCACAGTCAGTAATTCATACTGTAACATTCGTTTGTTCGTTGTGTCAATTTGAAGTTTGTTTGAAATAACAAACCTGTTCACCCGAAGGAAAACTCGACAAAGTGCTATTAGAAGACATCCTGTCATAGCTTTTTGCGGCTACCGTAGATGCAACACGCATTTGAAAACGTGAAGCGCTGGAGAGCACAATTCGTTTGAATGCAAAATACAATTTCACCGCTAGATGGGAGTAATTCTTACTCAATGTCCCTTTAAGCGTCTTAAGGGCCCTTACATAGTCAACGCATCGGTACGCATATGCGTGCGCAAGGCTACACATCGCTACGCTTCGGCCGCCATTATGCGTCGGCCGCCATTATGCGTCGATGCGTAGCCAAATGTGTCATCCTAGTTTTTGATACGCGACGCGCCGATGCACGCAATACTATGCGTTGTCGGTTGGGGCGACATTGCAAGTAATGTACATAAAAAGGTATATTATTATGTTTACAGAAGAAGAAGATTTGAATACAATGGCGGGCGAAGAGGAAAAGTTATGCGAGCTTGTTCGTATACATCCTTTGTTGCCGCCGATGTAAAATCAGCAATATGCACTCCTCTTCAGTTGCCATTTTGATCTGAATATTACGTGACCCGACTCTAGACTCTACTACCCCCTGCTGCGCGATCGGTGTATTGTATTTCACGCATCGCCGGTGACGCTTGTGTACTATGAAAAGGAGCGCGTAGCTCGCGTCGCTCGCGTTGCTCGCGTTGACTATGTAACGGCCCTAAATGTGAATTACGCGGCCGTTGTCTGTTTTAGCAGATTACTGCCATCTAGTGGTAGCAGCTTTTCTCAGACAGTGTTTGTGGATCTTGCACAATATTGCAGCTTCATATTACTCATCTTGCAAGGCGAAACCCGCGAAATGAAAGTCTCAAAATCCAAATGAATCAAAAAGGATTGACTCAGAAACGAGTCAATGAATGCACACACACGTGTCACCTGATCCACAAATGCACATCTTACTTGTTGCATGCACAAATTCTGGCCTACATTAATGCAAAATTGAGGTTTTGTATTAACAACTATGTCTCTATTTGTACAAAATGCTGCACATTCATGCGATTCTGGATTTTGCACACACAAGTTGTATTGTATTAGTTTAAATGTAGCGACGCACATTTGTGAATTTGTCAAATAGATGGGTAGTTGTGCACACATTAATAATTAGCACCAGGCCTATATTCATTTGTAGTTGTTTGTGTGTGGGTTGTGAAATGCTTAAAAACAGCGAAAAGAAAGTCTCAAAATCCAAATGAATCAAATGAGATTGACTCAGAAAATAATTCAATGCATGCACGGGCGTCACCTGATCCACACATGCACATTGTTGCATGCACAAATTATGATACACTAATACAAAAGAAAACATTTGTATTCACAAAAAATTCTCTATTTGAACAAATCGCTACACATTCATTCAATTTTGAATTTTGCACACGCAAGTTGAAAGGCATGGATAAAACATTTCTGCAACATGTATCAAGTTCATTGATAATTGTGCTTGCACGTGTTAATCATGTTGATACTATATTCATCCCATAGATGTATCCCCTGTCAGGGACGTGCACAGGGGGGTTGCTCAGGTTGCCCGGGCAACTGCCCATATGCCCTTCTCACTCAAGTTGCCCTTCTCACTCAAGTTGCCCTTCCAAGAAAAAAATTAAATCGTACAATGGATGCAGAATTTCACGTAGGCCTAGATTAAAAAAAAAAATCGCAAAGCCTCATTCACTTCCATTCGGGCACCGAAAGTGAAAGTCAGTATGAAGGGCAAACGCTGCACGCGACCATAGACTGCACGCGACCGGCGTAGGGCCACGCAAATTACTTAAGCGCCTCCATCTCGTGTCATAGTCATAGCGCGCCGTCAAATGTGTAGCTACAACATCCAC